TTTTGTTTCGTTTACTTGTAAATTTGGTTCATTTTAATCTAGAAATTAATTTTGTTCATTTCAATGGTTGGTTCAAATTTGTCTATTTCTATTTTGTACTTTGAAAAGTTGATTATTTTAGTTTCTTTCACATTTCTTTTAGAATGGTATATTTCTATTACGTTCACTATTTTAGTTTCTTTCACATTTCTTTCAATTATAATCTTTAACATGACCTTATCTCATTAAATTTATTGAAATGTAATTATAAATTTATAGTAAAGAATTTCTATTGTATATAAATTTTGTGATGAAATTTTGTAATCGTAGACAAAATTGGTCAGTTTTTAAAAATACAGAAATCAAAATGAACTACAATAATTAAAAATGAACAAAAAGTTAAAAGTATTCGGGCAAAAATAACATTTAAATATTTTTATTTAATAGTGGATTTTTTTAGCACTAACAAATATGAAGGTAAAGATTTGAACTTCTGAGTAAAGGAGCAGATATCTTTAACGCATTTATATTTATATTGATTTTGAGGTAAGTTAAATTATAAATTTAGTTTTTGGACTCGTAGAATTGTGTCTAATCGGTTCTTAAACCCTAATAAGCTATAAAATTTTTAATGTTGTATCTAATAAGTTCCCAAACTTTAAAAGATGTTAATACATCCGAAACTTTCAATTTTATGTGTTTAATAGACTCCCAAATATTAAAAAATGTTGAATGAACTTATTAAATACAAAATTTAAAGGTTTGAAAAATGTTGTACACGACCCTAAAAACTTAAAACAACCTAATTTACTCAAGTAAATATTTAATCATTTATTTTCTTTAAATTTTAATTATTGTTTTTAGGTTAAATATTACCGAGTAATCCATAGGGTTAGGTTATTATCCATTTTTCCAAATTCTCAAATCTATCCCTAATGTATTAAAAAATCTCAAGTTCATTCTGCACAAAAATAAAAAATAAAAAAAGGTGGTCCAAAATTGACAATGTTCTTAAAATACAGTATTGTAATACCATAAAATACTAAGAAATAGTATATGACTATAAATTTTATTATTAATTTATCCTCGCATATATATATTTCTTTTTTAATTCAATATGGAGTAAAGAATTCAACATCAACTTTTGTAATATTAATATGTGTCTTACCTCCATTCAGCTATGTTTATATTGATTACGATTCTAGATTTAAGTATCACGATGGATTTAAAAGATACATGAGCAACATAGGTTATAGTTTCCGCAAAAATGCTTCATGGTTAGTTTATTAAAATTCATGCATTTGTGCATGTGACCCTGATACAAAAGGGGGACGTAGAGATTGTGATTATTAGTTATCGAAAAATATTTGGATCAAATGAAGACCAATCCAGCCATCCTCACCACTAAATGGATGACAACTCATTATTTTTAATAAAAAATATCTCTTTTACATTTATCTCTCTTGGTTATCAAACATTTAATAGTAAGGATGGCAATATTAGTCCTCGCTTATGAAGAGCAAGCATTTTACTTATTTATTTTACCTCACTATTCTCACCCCTCTACCGTCTATGGTAAAATATGACGTAAGTATCAATAATACTTTAGTATGTGCCAACCAGAGCATAGCTCAGCAAATTAAGACATATGTATGTATCCAACCATGAAATTAAGAGTTTGAATCCCCACACTCAAATGTTGTACTAAAAAAAAGAAAAAGAATACTTTAGTGTACCTTCCACGATTTTTAATAAGGGTAGTTCAATGTATTGTAACACCCCTCATCACATACACATTTAGAGTATTATGTTTGAGATCGTTGCAACGTTGAAAGTAGTCTAATGCATGGCACCGCTAAGCTCATTTGGTAACATTAGCATTTCTTGTTTTTTTCCTCTTTTTTAATAAAGAAAAAATAGAACTGTTTGCTCTCAATACTCATGGATTCAAGAATGATAAAACAAGACATTTATTTATGTTGGAATAAATTAGAAATTAGAAACAACAAATGAAAACAAGAAACTTGTTTATGTTGTTTCCAAAAATTCTACACAATTTTGAAAATGTTTCTAAAAAATGAGAAACAATAAACAAGAAACAAAAATGGTTATCAAATACATAGATTTCCTAATAAAATTGGAAACAATAAATAAAAAATGAGAACGTTACCAGACGAGCCCTAATTATCGCCACAGTTGTTAAAAATAGATTCCCCATAGGTGGTGCATAGGTGGTGCCACAGAATATGATATAAAACTAGCAACTTTGGGAGTTGTTAGTTGCAAATTTCTTAACTACATGCATGTGTGACACAATATGTCCATAAAATGATGAGCAAAACTAATCATGCTAAATTCTAAGATGATAACTTATAATAATATGAACACAAGATTGCATTAGTGTTTAAGTTCCACCTTTACAATTAGAGAGTTTCGACGTAGTTATTTAAAAAATTGACGATGCAAAAATGGAAGGAATTAAACATATCTCAATACAAAATGAATCTCATATTGTAATTCCTTAGACCTCTTAAACAATCACATATAATTACATTAATTCAACTATATGTTTCCACATTGTCAAAATAGAACCAAAAAAGTTGCAATTGTACACTCGAAAACGCATCGAGAATAGAGGCAGAACAATTCATTTTACACAATCACCAAAATATACATAGAATAGAAGTAGTAACATCAACGACTTATTTAAGTTAGGATATAAATATAATCACAGGATTAAGAAAAAACAGAAGTGTATGATGGGGAAATAACTTATTGGGATGGTTGGGAATCAGCAGGCAGAAACTTTAGTGAAATACTATTGACACAATGGCGCTCATCTGTTGGTGTTCTAAAGCCTTCTCCTTTAAAAACATGACCCAAATGACCACCACAGGCAGCACATGTGATTTCAACCCTCATTCCATCAGGGTCAGCCTGGTAATTATTGCAAAACCATCTCATTAGTTCAACTCTACAATGTGTTTGTAAATGGAACTTCTCTTTTCAGTTAAGTCGGTAAATTTAGTGCATGAACTTTGATAGTTGTGTCTATTTGAGTGAATTGTTAATTTGTAATTCTACGTAGTTTCTATAGTCAACACAGTTACTAATCAAGTTTTGGCTAATTTGACGACATGGTAAACAAATGACAGAAGAATCAGGACAATTTGACAAAATAGAATGACATGTTCTATAACAGAGATTTGACACGTAAAAGGTGCATGTTGCACATGAAACTTCGTTTTATCTAGTTATTCACTTCTTTTAGTCACATGTCATCTTCGTCGTGCTAAATAAGCTGAGTTAAATAGGCATGTCCCGTAATAATTTTGTTAATAGTTTCAACAGCAGAGACTAATATACACAACCATTGAAGTGGATGGAGAAATGGTGGGTCAACTCAGAATAATGTGATGAGACATGCAAGTTTCTAATCTACATTTTAAGAATGACAGAGGTCGGAGACTCACAGTGCGATTAATGGCTCCAGGAAGACCCTCATAAAATGCCGGCCAACCACAACCGGAGTTGAACTTTGTAGTCGATTTGTAAAGGGGCGTCCCACATCCTGCGCAGTTATAAACTCCGTCATCGAAGAACTTATCGTATTGACCAGTTCCCGGATACCTGTAATACCCCAACAATAACATTACATCCAACATTCATCCGATTCGATCTTGTTCAAGTAAGGTCGTAGTAAATAGACTTGTACTCCGATTTGAGAGGGTGAAAATTATTTTTAGGGTGTGTTTGATGACCAAAATCACTTTACTATTGTCAAAATTACTTCCCTTTCCCTTGATCATGTTTGGAAAATTAAAAATTTGATTTTAAGAAAGCTTAAAATCACTTTGAATTGATTTTTAAGCTATCACGAGAAGAAAATCAATTATACTTCAATCTTTTTTTTCTTCAAAATCACTAATTCTACCGTCGCTCCCAAACACACCCTTAGTCCATTAAAAGTAGATTTCAAAGTTTTCATGGTTAGATAACCAAAAGTGAATTTAAAATTTCTAAAAATACTTAAAAGTACTTTCATGTTTCATCCAAAAGTATTTAGAAAAAACATGGTTCACTTAAAAACACTCTCTCATAAACCATCCCAAAAGTCTTCTTTCTTTCAGAAACCATCCCAAAAGTACTTAGAGAAGACGTGGTTTCACTTAAAGGCACTTTTTTGGTAAACCATCCCAAAAGTTATCTAAAGATCTGTTTGGTTGCTAACGATTTTGAGTAATTTCAAATCTCGACAAAGTTCGAATCCTGTTTTCAAAGGATTTAAAATCAATCTTGAGAGAGCAAGTTTCCACAGCATTTGTTGCTAATTTGAAGCAGGTTGATATAGAAAGCGACGATGGAACCAATAGTTATCTCAAAGAATGCAAGAAAACGATCATATTAATGCAATTGAAACAGAAGAAGTGAAGTAGGTTGCTGGAGAGGTATAAAAACTAATAATAGCTGTAGCGTTTACGTAATGCTATTTGCTAAAATTGAAGTAGCGATTAAGTGATTCAAAGGAACGCATAAGATGATTTCCTTCAAAACTCAAGCGAGCAGCAATTTCCAGAAGCAGAAAATTGGAAAACCGACAAAACGTACAACAAAAACCACTCAAAAAATGGTGAGAATCGGGGACTTACTCTGTCCCTTTCTGTCTGAGAATTCGAAACTGCTGCGGCGAGAGGATGGCCCGCCATTCCTCCTCCGACTTCTGGACCGACCCAGGCGAAGACATGGCAGTGACACGGCCCCCACGGAAGCTACGAGGCCTCGGACAAAAAGCCCCACCGAATCGAGAGGCAGAAATGGCGGAAGAAGAAGATCCGAAATGGGTTTTGAGAAGCGAAGAAGGCGGTAAATGAGGCGGCGGAGAGAGGAGAGAAAGCGGAAGCTTCGCGAGAGCTCGGGAGGAGGAGAGAGGGGAAGTTCGGAGAATGGTGAAGCCCATAACAATGAGAGAGAAAGGAAGATAAGCAGAGATGAAGATGATGATGACGAGGGATTTTTTGGACTTGGATAAAAGGAATATTTTCTCCATGAGTCTTGGGCTTTTGATGATTTGGATTTGGATCTGGATCAAATATTGTGGAGGGATCGGAGAAAATTACCTCTCTCTCCCGACTCGGGTCGGGATCAAACCATCAATCTTATGACATTATAATAGATATCTTATCCACCTCGAATTATAATCTATCGCACTTAAATCTTAGCTTTATCGTGAATGTTGCACCAAAAGTTCGAAAAGAAAGCTTAGTCACCTAAGTTCTACAACTAGAGACGATAATATGATTTGGTTGAACTCTACAACAAGATTGGTTTTGTCGAGACTAACAATGTCTCATCGACATTGACCCAATACGTCACGATTGTTCAATAGTAGTTACATGCACACATGTGCTATCTTGCTTTATTTGAAAGAGTTCAAATATTTTTTCTTTAACTTCTATATTACAACGATAGGGGCTAATTATATTCTTAGTGGTGTTTATGTATTCCATAGATCATGTTTGTCAAATTAAAAAATTAATTTTAGGAGAATTTAAAATCACTTTAAATTAATTTTTAAGATGATTTTGAAAAATCAATTATACTTAAAATTTTTTTTAAAAATAAACGTATCCTAGATAGATGCAATTTAAAATGTTTTGTGGAAAAGCACTGAGGAATCTTTTGGGTTTAAAAATGTTATTATATGTTGATTGACCATGCATAATAAAGAATAATAATATTGTTGGAAATTAAATATTATTATATTTGACCATACATAATCGTATTGACAGGAATTGTAATGAGCTAGCATCCACTGAATTGTTTAGTTGAATAAATTTAATTCATTACTAGTTATTAAAAATAAAAAATTTATTGTCAAAGTTTTAAATGTTGATGTGGATCGAAATGTCGAGATCCTAATTTTATGTAAATATCAATAAAAGGTCGTTGTCGATGGATATTTCTGTTAAAGTTATAGAAATTAAAAAATCGTAAAAAATATTTAAATTAATAAATAAACATTTTCATATTTCTAAATAAGTTAAAAAATAATTAAAATTTATATTATGATATATTAGAGACACTTTGTTGATATTTTTCATATTTTGTCGATTTTTTTTATTATATGATGGAAATGTCGATTTATCTCTCATGTCGATCGTATCAACTGATATTCAGAGCCATACACATTACTAGTTAAGTGATTAATATTTAATAGATAATTAATTCAATTTATTTTTATCAATAAATTAAAGTTTGGTAATGTGTGAAAATGATATCATATTTTAATGAGGGGCTGATTTGCAAAATTAGTTGTCAATATATTATTTTTAGTACAACAAATCAAGAGTTTGAAGTTTTGAACCTCCGATCTCGAAGAAGTAGGCAGCAATTACGGTTTAATTATGCTTACGTTGGTGGTTGTAAATTTTTTGATCTTTAATTATAGTTAGGTTGTTTGTTATGTTAGAAGAGGATAAATTTATGAAGATGAGACTTACTAGTCAATATTATATGTTCTCCAATTATTTATTATAAGTGTCATTCTTGTATCAAAAAACAGGCAAGGTATCCATTAATAACAAATTATAATTACCTCCAAACAATTAATAAAAATTATAATTGTCAATATGAATAAAGTGGGATGATTTAAGCATCTTGTCCCATTTGTTATACTAAAAAAAATATAATTAATCAAATAAATAAATTTGATTATCTAATATATTAAATTTTAGTTAGGTCATTGAATTAATTATTACAATTAGCCATAAAATTGTAGTTAATTTATGTTATAGAGGTCTAATTGAAAAACTAATTTTCCGTCAAACAAAAATTAATACCCTAATTTTTAATGAAGCTAAATTAATAAATCAAGTTTAATAAATTTGATATAATTGATGATGAAATTGTTGTTTATTTCGTTTTTAGTTTTCTATTTTTAAAAGTGATGTTTGTTTGCTCACAATTTCTTTAATAAGGTTTTCAATTCTCTTAAAAATTTATATGAATTCTTGACCAGATTTCAAATAAAAACGAGTATTTAATTTTTTTTTTCAATTTGGTCTAAATTTGAAAAATGTTTATAAAAATTATATAACAAAACAAGAGGGAAAGTAATATTTTTAAACTTAGTTTTTAAAAATAGAAAACAAAAAAGGTAAATGGTTATAAAACAATTATTATAATCAATACTAATTGAGTCTAAATTATTTAATTGCAATATTCAATGTTATTTAATTTACATTAATAATATCTAATTATTAATTTAATAATGGAGTAAAACACGTTTTTTTCCAAAAGAAAAAAAAACGCGAAACAATAATACGCAAGTTCCCAACTCACCGTTTTCTTCTCGAACTTGGATTGGAAGGTCATTGTCGTAATGGCATCTTGTCTAATCATCCGTATTCGAAAATATATATTTTTTTATTATTGACTAAGAAAAATGATAAATTTTATAGGATCGAACCATTAAACTTTTAATTTCATAAAATCACCCGAGCTAATAAAGTTGTTGCAATTAAATTATTAAATAGTGCAAAAATGCATAAACTATCCCATAATTATAAATATGGTTACTATTTGTGTCGATTTCTGCGAAAGTGCCACGTACGCTTTTGTCTTCGAGTTCTAACTGAACCTGCACATAGAAATATAACACTGGTGCAGTTTTTGTTGATTGCACTCTGATGCCTAAGTTAGAACTTGGATGAGAATAAACGAGTATGGAATACTAGAGGTTTTTCTGTAAGAGTATATGTGAGATTTTGCGTACCTCATACAGGATTTAAGTGTTCCTTTTTGTGACGCTCGAGTAGAGAAGAGAGGTATATGGATGAACCGATACCACATCCAAATGAGAAGACTCATGAAATCATGGATGCATGACATGGTTAACAATGACAAAAAATAATTGATAGTCACTACCTAATACCAACAAATTGCACATTCATTTTCGGTGGCTCAAACCATAAGAACTACAAAGTCAAACGTGCTTGGCAACTTGTGTTGGTTCGTAGAAATAGTCTTTACTCTTTTAAGTAGGTCAGATAAAGATGGTGGCGTAGCATAATACGAGTTGTGGGGACCACTCGACATTCTACATCTCCCTTTTGACTATTCGTACGATGTGCTCGACATTTTCCCCTTCGATATGCTCAGCGCTCTCCTCTTTGTATATCATGCGGGCTCCACGTGTTTAAACTAACTATCAAATGATGTAAAAGACTATTTCGAATCATTTTTCAAACTTAAAGGGATTGAACATATGTATTTTGAGAGTGTAAGAACCAATTAGACACTAATAAGAAAATATAATAATATATTTTTTAACATTTGTAATTTTCTCAAAAAAAAAAAAGAAAAAGAAAAAAAAGACTTACCTCCCAGTCCCATTAATGAACGTTGTGAAAACAGAATATTCTGTTTGAGATTTTTCTTGATTGAACAAGTTCATTTTAAAATTAGGACACATTTATTTTCCATTTTTGTCAACGAGCATAAATTAGGGCACAATTTTCTCATTCTCGCTCCCAAAGCAGTGAACTTTCCTTCCGACCACACGCCGGCCGCCATTGGACCCCCTCCACCAAAACGTGTATCGCTATCAATCTCTGGTCAAACTTTTCGCACCAAATACCAAACCCCATCTTTGAATTCTTCTTTATTGTATACAAAAATAATCTAAAAATGGAGCTTTGAATCCAATTCCTCTCGTCAAATCAAATCAGCTTATAAAAGCCCAACGCCACCCACTGCCGCGCTGTTTTCTCCGTCGCCTTCTCCTCAGATCTCCGCCCCTCTCTCGGCCTCTACGGTCCGATCTGGTGACGGGTTTCAGAGATTAGCAGCTGCATTTTTGTTTTTCTTGTTTTGGGTTCTTTGTTTCTGCCGATGGCGGCTACTGTGGGTGGTTTCACGACGTGCTTTACACGTTCGAGTGCAGAATCTGTCGCCCCTTCGACGTCGTATTCTGCCCCAGTTCGTGTGTTCGTCAAGCCCTCGAAGACCAAGAGATTGGTGTTGCAGAGGGGAGCTTCTTGGGGCCTTAGATGCGAGATCGACCCCAATACCGCCTCGGTTCGGAGCAGTCAGATCGGTTCGATCCCGCCTGCTCTTTCGGCTCTCGAATTGCTTAAAACGTCTTCAGCTGACAGTGAGTGTCATGATAAATTTCGGGTTTATTAAGATGATGCCTGTGTTTGAATTTTCATTTGCTTGAATTTTCTTCTGCTGATAGTCTAGAATTTCTCACATTGTTTTGCAATGACGTAAGTGTAATTTGGAATATTTTTATTATCGGTCGTTTACTCCTTTGGTTGTTCATCATATTTGGGGTGGGAGATTCGTAGAGATGCCTTAACCACGGATTCATGGTCAAGACCATCCCTTTTGAAATAGTTTCATGAGAAATGGCCAATCTTGAATTCACACTGATGGTGACTCATTAGTTTGATGAACCATTTCTTTGAATGAAGAAGATTATGCAAACACTTCAATAGCAGTCTGCAACTCTTTGAGGCTTTTATGTTTTAAGAATTATGAACTATGTATTTTTTTTCTTCACAAGAATGAGTGTAGGTCATGAGTAGCTCTGAAAGCTGTACGAGGAGCTAATTGTTTGTACCCTTTTTTCCATATGGGCAGGATATACAAGAGAAAGGAGCAGTATTGTGGTGATTGGGCTTAATGTTCACACTGCACCAGTAGAGTTACGTGAGAAACTTGCCATTCCAGAAGCTCAATGGTCTCATGCCATTGGTGAACTCTGTGGTCTGAACCATATAGAAGAAGCTGCTGTTCTTAGTACTTGTAACCGGATAGAGATTTATGTTGTAGCATTGTCGCAGCATCGTGGGGTTAAAGAAGTGACAGAATGGATGTCGACGGTGCGTATAGTTACTTCAAGGTGTACTATTTTTATCCAATGACTTTCTGGGTCAATATTCCTGATTTTTGTCTCCTTCACGTCTTGCAGAGGAGTGGAATTCCTGTTTCAGAGCTTTGTAAGCACAGAGTTCTATTATACAATAAAGATGCAACTCAACACCTCTTTGAAGTTTCTGCGGGTCTCGATTCTCTTGTGCTTGGAGAAGGTCAGATCCTTGCTCAAGTAAAACATGTTGTGAAAACAGGACAAGGTGTGGCTGGGTTTGACAGAAAGATTAGTGGGTTGTTCAAGCATGCCATCAGTGTGGGTAAGCGGGTTAGAACCGAGACCAACATTTCGTCAGGGTCAGTTTCTGTCAGTTCAGCTGCTGTGGAGCTTGCACAGAAGAAACTTCCAGAATCTTCATATGGTACTGCTAAACTGCTGGTAGTTGGTGCAGGAAAAATGGGGAAACTTGTGATTAAACACTTGATTGCAAAAGGATGCAGGAATATGGTGGTTGTGAACAGAACTCAGGACGGTGTCGATTCTCTAAGCAAGGAACTCAAGGATGTTGAGATAATCTACAAACCCCTTTCAGAGATTTTAGTGTGTGCTGCAGAGTCGGATGTCATCTTCACCTGCACCGCATCGAAAACACTGTTATTCACGAAAGAACATGTAGCTATGCTCCCTCCTGCACGTACAGAAACAGGAAGGCGCCTTTTTGTCGATATATCAGTACCTAGAAATGTTGAGCCATGTGTATCGGAACTTGAGACTGTATCCGTCTTCAACGTAGACGATCTCAAGGAAGTTGTGGCTGCTAACAAGGAGGATAGACTACAGAAAGTGCAGGAGGCTCAGTCAATAATTGCAGAAGAACTAAACAAATTTGATGCCTGGAAGGATTCTCTTGAAACTGTTCCTACCATCAAGAAGTTTAGAGCTTATGTTGAGAGGATCAGGGCCTCTGAACTGGACAAATGTCTGTCCAAGATGGGTGAAGACATCCCAAAGAAAAAGAAAGTAGCCATTAATGATCTTAGCCTTGGTATAGCCAACAAACTACTTCATGGTCCAATACAGCACTTGAGATGCGATGGCAGTGATAGCCGGACTTTGGATGAGATACTTCAGAATATGTATGCTATTAACAGAATGTTTGATCTTGAGACAGACTTGTCTGTCTTGGAAGAGAAGATTAGAGCAAAAGTTGAACGTGGCCAGAAGTAATAAGCCCTTTTTTTTAATATAGTATTTTGTTGATATTCCTTACAGTTATAGCATTCATGTTGCCTCGTGACTGCTTGTAACTTTACACTGTTGGTGGTTTGGTTCCTCTTCCATTGACGATAATCCCGCATCGATGGAATTTTGGAGGGAAAATCACCAAGTAAAGAAATGAGGTTATAGAGAGAGTAGATTCATGTGTAATTCATTTGTTATTTTATGGACAGTAAAATAAAGAAAGTCTGGTGAAAATTGTTGCTGTTGTTTCTTTTATCACAGTACAGATCATCTCATGAATTGTTAAAAATTCTGAATAGATATCCACAAAATGGTGAACTATGTGATAAGGGCGTATAACTGTTGATTTGTAACAATTAAGAAAGATATTACAACGCCAATATTACCTGTAATCTGGTAAGAATCATTTTGTAAGAGGCAAAAAAATGGAAGAAAAGAAGCTCATCTTTTCATTGTACTTTGTTGGAACACATCACGATCAGATTACTTTTCCATCAAAATGGCTCTCATCAAACTGAACCATTGCTGGACTAGCTCTGCATCCCTGTCGTCGTTTTTCGAGATCTGGAAGAGAATATGATGCCGAGGGTCGTCGTGGGGAACCTATGAACATCTTGAACTTGAAAATGAATCGTCATTTACCTGTCTTCAAGTGATAACTGATGAGTTCGGACAAAATATCGACCCATGTATCTGGTACTCCTGGTAAGCACCAGTGCATGCAGTCCTGGCCCCAAACTGCAACTGCATCTTTTCTTCCCAACCAAACTGCTGGATGGGCATCTGCTCTGAACTCACTCAAGTGAGTCAGATCAAGAACCTCAATATCTGTGCCACGTATCGCCTCATCGATGAGACGATTTACTGTTCTGGCTTCTCTATTCACCCCGTTGTTGCTTGGATCAAACCAAATGTCTAGCTGTCCAGGTATTTTTACTTAAATCACCTTGTGGAAGAGGAAAGTTGGTAGAGGGAAATGCAAAGCAAAGGTTGCTCTCACCTGGGATTCTTCAAGAGGTTCATTGAACAAGCAGCTGCCGTTTTGATTCCATTCACCACCATAAAAATGTCTAGGAGATTGTAGACGCCAGAACTTAAGGGTCTTGCCAGGAATTTCATTTTGTATGTAGGAGGCCATAAGTTTAAGAACAAGTTGAAGTCCATCCATCATCTCCAGAGCTGGAAGTATCGGTCGACCAGCACGATAAAAGACTAGAGGTGTCTCTTTTGGAAATTTATCATAACCCCACCTGATAAAAAATGGATAAGTAACTTCCAAAGATGATTTGCCAAATCTTCAAAGCATTCACATTCGAAATATTACGAAAAAACAAGCATACACAATAAGAAATAATGTCGAAAGTGTTACTTTAGATGGCATGACAAGCTTATTAGATATACTTATGTAACATTAAACATTTGCCAACGATGAGTTACCAGAGGACACGCCACTAAAGTATGTCATGGCTCTCTATGTGGCTCTTTGTTTATCCATTCTTCCGTTCTCCGTAAAAGTTCGGTTTCTTCTTAAAATATAAATAAATAAAATTACGAACAACTGAAAAGAGTCATGAAAAACTAGTAAGAAAATTTATTTTCTAAAACCAATTTTCAGAAATCACACAGCACATCAATCTTCTTGAGAGTCTTGGCTTTCCAAAACCACACAGGATAGGCCTCTAACACTTCATGAAATGTTCAAAGAATGACTAGCAAGAATAAGATCTTGATTAATCTAAATTCACACCTAGCATAGAGCTCAAGTTTCGAACAACAGTGCTCCATTTACAAACTTCGGTGAGATTTTGAAGTGAGAAAGGTCTAGCAAGGAAACTACAAAAAGGCAGGAAGAGGAGATTGTCTTAATCAGGCCAAGGAGTTACAAAAGACTCTCAATCGACTTGAACATCATAAGAAGAATAATTAGGAAGTCTTAGAGAGTAATTTTTATCAAAAATCTATTGCTTAGTGGAAAACTATTCTCGAATGTTCGCCTATTTCTTTCTAACCAAATGGCCCAAATAAGAGTACACCCCAAGATCCTCCAAAAGGTCTCTCTTGCAGAAATCAATCAACTTCCAAACATATGAGGCAAAATGCATATGGGTCACCCCGGGGGGATGTTTGTCGTATTACTAAAATTTAAGATAACAACACTCCTACTTCTTTGGCCATCCTTTCTGAGTTCCAAATATTTTTCCATGAAAACAACCTAATATTTCAAATGGGGAATGGAATGTTGACCTATTTAAATAATAAAAAACCATCACAATCTCTCTCTTCATGAGAAAGAATATCGTAGTCATCACGCACTGGGTGCTTGTATCTTGGAGATAACATTTTAAACTTCAAGTCTACCAACTGGAAGGATCTCAGAAACTAAACAACAGCATTAACATACTGAATATCAAAGTCTAGTTGAATTTACATCAGTATCGATGTTTATCTCAACCCTTAATTTCCCTCTAACTTATACCCGGGATATCCAACTTACCTAATTATATTAAATAGCCAAAAGAATGAGGGAATACAAATAAAATGGTACTGATGTAGGTATTTCAAGCAACTTGATTCCCTCCCTTGAGCCATAAAAGTCCCCACAATAAAATGCTACCCTTCTATCACCATCCCTACCTCCCTCCAACCCCCAACTAATAGACCACTTTACCAATACCTTCTGAAAAGCTCACTCACTAGTCCCTCATATAGGCTACTTAGTATCTAACAGATATCAGCATTACATCAAGGGCATTGCAAGGATTGGTTGATTAACCGTCATATTGCTAAAGAAGGGAAAAAGAAAAGAAAGAGAAAAAAGGATTACCAATGGCCAGTGTTAAATACAAGAACATCGTAGAAGTTGGCGATGTTAGCCCAATCATCTGCAGGAATATCAACATCCACACGGTGCACTCCTTCCAATTGACTTTGATTGTCTGATGATGAATACTTCGGCTGCCACCTTTGTTCAATCAGTTACAAGAACATAAGGACAAATTTGACCATTCATAGGGAAGGAAGGAAATGAAACAAAAGATACATGCATGCTGCACCTACACCTGATTGAAATAAAACTTTTGTTAAAGATGTATAACAATATGTACCTATGGAAACTCAGACATGGTCTAGATAGCTCCAAAATAAATGTCACAGACATGATATTGGAGCTATAATATACTCTGCCTGGTATTGATGCAACAATTTTCTTTATCAGAAACATATTAGTTTGATTAATAAAAACAAACATATAGTATAAATAGTGCTGAAGAGTATAAGCTATCGTATCCGCTTAAACTAAAATGATTAAACGTTACAAAAATAACTCTCCATCTACACTGCAGTCCACAAACCAGCAAAATAAGGGGGAAAACCATCAGATCTGACATTTCTACTCTACAACCTCAAAAGTCTCCACATTTCTGAAAATGCGTGCCTCGAAGAATTGAAGAAACATCATTAGATGGATTCAACACACTTCCAAAATTTGTAAAGAAGTTTGAACGAAAGATCCTCTAACAAAGTCATGATAAAGAATTTAGTAATTCATGGTTGCTAAATTATAAACCTTGATTCTGGAGTTTCAATCGTTTAGCTAACTTAGTACACACAAAAGAAAAAGAAAAAGAAAAAGAAATCTAAAAATTCTAACCATGAATAACCACTTTCTATAATTAGTTGGAAATGTGAAATTGCAAAATTAGCAAAAAAGCTACAGATCATACTTGTATTTGGCGAGCAACACCGCACGGTGGTAGGCGACTGTGACATTGAACTTTGGAAAATAAGCACCCTTCCAAGCCCCTTTCCTCTTCCACTTCTTGGCACCCAAATCAGCCGCTCTAAGACTACACAAAAAGGAAGTCAAGAAATTCTCATTCAAGGAATCACCAACAAACCCAAAATTCCTGTTTCTCATCAGATCCAGAAACCGGAACGGATCAATCTGCGGCAAATCGCAGTTCCGGGGCACCCATTTCCACGAATTGATGGTACCCATATTGTCTCTCTGGTTCCTCAAGCAATTCCAGGCGTTTCTATGAAATGGGCATGTCTCATCGTATATGGGTCTGCGATTGGGGTCCCGATTCCAGCGGCCCCTGAAGAGATTGCAAGTGGCTGGCGCAGAAATCTTTTTTCTCTGTGGAGATGGCGAAATGGGGGCGTGGAAAGACACAGTTGCGGAGTAGAAAAAGAGGATGAAGAGGGCAAGGAGGATTAGCCATGGGAAGAGGAGGCGGATGAGCTTACGATGCATTGCAGAGCTTCATCTATGGCGGCGGATTGAAGAGAAAACTGAATCACTGGTTCCTTGCGGCAAGTTATGAATTTGGGAAATCAGCAGTGGAGAGCTGTAACGGAGAAAATTCAAGAATAATGTAATTTAAAAAATAAATTACAAAAATAACGTAGATTTAGAAGTAATAACAGAATAAATGTAGTATAAATAAAAAATTACAAAATTAAGTTATATATTCAAATTGATAAAAATAAGTTAGGTGATAGATAAAAAATTACAAAATTAAGTTATATATTCAAATTGATAAAAATAAGTTAGGTGATAGTTAAAAGTAGGGATTTGAACCTGTGATGGGAGGGTTAAGAATGAACATTGTGACCACTGCTGAACAATTCTTATCCTTTAATAAATTGACAAAATATTATATATATAGCATATATAACTCGCAGCAAATGCGATTTTGGCGTGCAAACTACTATTTTTTCTAAAATCGCAGTCATTAAATGAGATTTACCTGAAATCGGATTTGATGCGATTTCACTATCCTACTTTTGAAAATACTTTCAAACCTACATTATTTGTGTAATTTGTTTTTTAAAAAGCATTATTTAAAAAAAATCCAGCTGTAACATTATTCAGTTTCTTTATTTCCTTACTAAAAATATATATATATATAATATTTATTTCCTTTTTTCTTTAATATTATATATTTATTTCCTTTTCGTTGTTGCAAAAATGGTTTTTTTTCTTCCTTTTTAAGCGATATTGACAGAAGGGGATAGGTTTTACTTTTTGACCGTTTAGTTTAGTTTATTTTCTTTTAATTTATTTTTAATACAACATTTGAAAATGGACAAACTTTTGAGAGGAGATGGGTAGAAAGTTACATTTTTTGGTAAAATATATTTTTATTCTCTGAATTTTAAGATACGATTTCTATTTGTTCTATAGATTTTAAAAACTGACACTTTAGTCTTCAACATTTAGAAGATGGTTCTAAATCGTCATTGAACACATTTGACCGTTAGTTGACTAACATAAATATGATGTGGCGGTTTAAGTTGGTGATTATATTTAGCCGATTTGGCAAAAATTTTAATATAATATACTTTTTTGATGATTAGACGATGAGGTGACATCCCCTCTCAAAAAAATTTCTAGTCCGGAGAACTCTCAATACTCCTTCTATTTAAAAGTTGTTAAGTATATTTATTATTATAAAAAATAAAAAATAGATATATTTTATATGGAGCCCACATATTTAAAGCAATATTTACTCCATGTATTTTATTTTCTCTACATTCTCTCTCCTATTTATTACTCTTATACGTGATTATTTATTTTTAATCTATTTCTCATTTCATTGTTATTTACATCTTCGATTGCTTCTCTTATTCTCGATTTTCATTTCCTTAATTTTTTCCCTTCAAACTTAAATTTTTAATTTTTCTTATAGAATGTTTAAACTTCAACTATTTGTACTCATCATTTAAATTATGTATGACTTTTCAATCTATTTTTAATTTTTTTGGTTCTGTATTTTTTTTATCTATTTTATTCTAATCATTTTATATCTTTTTCATTTTTTCTTGAATACATAAAATATTTTAATGTATTCATCCCACGTGAAGAAATAGATCTCCAAGTATGTTATGTTTAATTTTTTTCATTTTTTAAATTCATCATTTTTATGAATTTTATTATTTGATTATAAATACACTTTTTTTTTGTTGTCGTCATTTACTCAAAATATTGTTCAACTTTAGTTTATCTAAAAATTTTGTTTCAAATAAATGGCTATAATTCAATAAAATTGAATTTTCTAATAAGTTCCGACATATTTTTAATATATGTAAATTAATTGATCATGTTTTATTATTCGATATATATATATATATATATATATATATATATATATATGTATATTAAAAAAAGTTGGATAACAAAATAAGTAACAAATAAAATACGTTTTACTTTTTAAGTATTGTTAAGCATCTACTTTTTAAATTTTTGTTTCTATTTAAAAAAAATTACAGATAAAAAACAACGTATTAAAATAGGCAACAAATAAAATCTAATTATAATATTTGATTAAATGATACAAAACAATTATTTAACTATTTGAAAATAAAATTACAAACAAAACGAAAATATCAAAATAAAATAAACAAACATTCTTTCTTATTTTAGAAATCTACAAATGACAATAGAAAATAATATATAAAACTACTCAAATACAAATTTTATTGGTTTGAAGAAATAGAAGAAAGTGAAATAATAGTTACATCAAGAAAAGAAAGTAAATCTACCAAATATAAACTTAACATAACTTAACTGGTTAAAATATATATCCCGATAAAAAAGTCATAAATTTGAATGCATACATATATTGTACTAAAAAAAAGAAAAAAACAATGAAAGAGGAAAAAAGGAAACAAAATAAAGAGAGAAAAATTAACAAATAAAAGTTGAGAATGGGAGAAGTGAAAGATGTAAATAAGAAATAAATAAAATAAATAATCACTTACAAGAGTAACAAATAAGAGAGAATGTAACATGAAATTACGAGAGAGAAAAATAAAATATGTGGAGCAAAAATATGTGGATCCACGTAAAAAAATATATTTTATTTCTTATAATAATAAAGATACTCTATATGTGACAACTTTCAAATGGAATGAGTATGAAAGTTAAACTGTCACATCATATTTATGTTAGTCAAACTAACGATCAAATGTGTTCAAGGACCATTTTTTAAATGTTAGGGACAGTTTTTGAAACATATAAACTTATCTTCAAACTAAAAGTGTATTTTACCCTACATTTTTTTTAGAGGTGGTACATGTATTTTTTAGTGTTACAACGAGGTGAGAGATTCGAATTCATAATCTTTGTTGGGAACAAGTGTCAGCCCATGAACTAAGTTAAGCTTCTGTTGATAGAGGTGGAACATAATGTTACGTTCTAAAGGAGTATTTTTTAAATATAATTTAAAGAGAAAAAACTCCTGCTATTATTCATTTTGATATCTACATTACTCCCTGGTCCCTACTTAAAAAAAAAAAAAAAAAACTTTCGTCTTATCTTATTCAAGTTTGAAAAGACTACTAAACCATTAATCAAATGTCATAAATGAAATCCATAATGTAACATTTTGTCTTAACTAACGTAGAAATGTGAAATCTAACGAGTAACATTAGGTAGTCTCCTAGTATTTTCCTAGATTTTGCTATTATTTTTTAAGTACCTCTACAAATAACTTGTTAGATTAGATTTTGTTTAATCCCAAATAAAAAAAATTAACACAAATTTTATATACCTAGTGAAATCGGCTAATCGATAACTATATTTCAATAAGTTTATTGAATATAATATCGTATTGAAATTATAATAAAAAATAGATAAAAATGAACGTTTTGAAAGTACAAAAGTTATTAATGGACAAAAGCTAAACGTACATGGTAAAATTACAAACTAAATAAACAGAAACTGAAATTACAGCAAGATTAAAGCATAAGACTGAAATGAAAACTAACTCAAATATTGAAGGATTTCCTATTATATAGGCAAATAATCACATTCTTAGCTCTCTCAATGTTCTTAGAGGCTGATGGATGGAAGGTTTTTCACAGAATCACCTGTGTTGTGTACATTCTCCAATCTCAAGATAGAGAGAACCAAAATGGAAACTACAATTCAAATGTTCATTGTTACATCGCGAAGAACATTTTATTACTTTTCTTTCCCGATCATTGAAGTTTTCAATCGATCGATTACAGAGGTTGAAGCCATTGAAGTTGCATCGATGGGTCAGTTTTCAACTTTTCAAAACATCATAAAATGACATTGGCCTCTTTGGACTTCCACACAATTCCTGGGAAAACCACAAGATTATTAGTTGCCAAAAAGGGAATATAATATAAATGGTTACTTGAGGATTATTTGGTAACATTTCTATTCTTCGTTTCCTCTTCCCTTAAAAAAAATGAAGTTAAATTATCAATTTAGCTCCTATAACTTGAGTTTTGTTTCAATTTATCTCCGGTCGTTTTAAAAGTTTCGATTTGGTCCCTATAATTTTGGCTTAGACTCTTAAGTACATCAGTGGGGTGGAGAATTCGAACTCATAATTTCTTGATTAGAGACATATGTCAATTACCGCTGAGCTAAGCTAATGTTGTCTGACTTAAACTCGATTGGTTTCTGTACTTCTAAAAATTTTGATATGGTCTCTATAGTTCGTCTTTACCATTACAAGCAACTACCACAAAGAATATATGATACCTATCTACATGGAAATGAATTGGTGTATTTTTTTTATTCACTATATTAAGGTCTAGGAAAATACATGGGTTCTAAGGTAGGTAAAAAATGGTTTATAAATGATGCGTGAATTTAACAAAATTATAGAACCCAATTGAAACTTTAAAATTACATGGACAAGATTGGAACTAAACCAAACGATAGCGACCAAAAAAAAATATACCAGACATTTTTTTTTATTTTTCTTTAATAGAAAACAGGAAACAGGAAACAGAAAATGAGCAAGAAATGAAAACGTTGTACCTCAATTGCAGAAGCCAAACGTAATATTGTAGCTTCACCCCATGGACGGCCGATCAGTTGAAGGCCTATTGGGAGGCCTTGTTTATCGTAACCAATCTGAAAGATGAACAAATTGACCCAAACAAGAAAAATGACAATGGCAGATATAGGAAAGGAAATTAAACTCATTATCAACACAGTTTATTTATGCATCAAAGGGGTACAAGCCAGGAGAGTTACACCTCTCCTAACCTCATTTGAGAGCAAGTACAAAGAAAATTACTCAAAAAAGAATATCGGGCAAACAAAAAAATTTGAAAAATCGATCTGCCTGACCAAAACTAATTGAACCTAGTCGGTCGACTGGACTGATGAACAGTTTGGTCAATGTTGGTTTTGTAAAACTCAAAACCAACTAATCAATCGGCCAATCTAGGATCGGTTTGGGAGTGATTTTGACAGTTGTTTGGGAGTGATTTTAACACTGTCAAAATCACTTTTGCTGCTGTCAAAATCACTTCCATTTTCATTGATCATGTTTAGCAAATTAAAAATTGATTTTTAAGGTATCACTTGGATGGTGATTTTGATAAATCATACTTAAATCTCTTTTTTCCAAAATCACTAATTCTATCATTACTCCCGAACACACCCCTAGTCGAAAAAGTGGTTTCCAACTGAATTGACCATCCTTTAAGCTTATTTATAAAAAAAATAAAAAATTACTGCAGATTTGCATTAAATGCACTGCAGCTGCAAAACTTCCTTGAGAAAACCAGCGGTAGTACACTAAACTAAAGAAAAAGGTTACTTTTCTATTTTTTCTATTTTCCTCTCCCCTCATTTCTTCTTTCCTTCTCCCTTTCTCTCCTCTCAGTCACTTATCTTCTCTCCCTTCCCTTCTTCCATTCTCTCTATTTATCTCCCTTTCTCTCTTCTCCCCCCTCTCCTCTGTCATTTCGTCTTTTTCTTCCTTTTCATTATTTAATATTATTTCATTTTGAGAGGAAGACCTTGTTCAAGGTTAAGCTTCCCTTTTCTCTCTGTCTCACAAGGTTTTTTCTATCTATCTCGCCAAAAGCTTAACCTTGCATCAGTTTCATCCAAAACCGATCGACTACCAGTGTATTCGGTTATGTTGTAGAGCCTTATAAAACCATCGAGCTCTGATCGACGATAATTGACTCGTCGGTTAGCCAAAAACCGACCTCAACTGACCGATGTGCACCCTACTAGATTCTATCTTCCTCCCTACATCTTACTTACCATAACTAACTAATATGCTCCAGGTCCCCCGTCCCCCACAACCGATCCCACACCTAAATAGTAATAAATCAGAATTATATCACTCACGTACTCCCTTACCTCTCTTTCGGCTATACATTTTTCTGTCATTGGGAGTCTATCAGAGTTTCATTAAAATAAGTAGGTGCAAAGGAATCACTCTTTGAGAACCACTAAGGCTTTTTTTTGGCTCCTCTTTTGATATTGCTAAAGATTCATTTAAAAATGGATGCCTTTTCAATAGTATGATGGCATGCTGCACTTCTGATAAATTCTCACTCTCATTTTAGGAAATCTCAACACCTACACTACAACAGAAAAACTTACTGATACTAAATTTGAGGGAGGGGAGGACTCACCGGGACTGAAATGGCAGGGAGTCCAATAAGATTGGCCGCAATAATAAACCGCATGAGATAACCTAACATCAATCATGCCCTGAAACTTGTTATGAGTGGAAGTATATACAGATATAGATATAGATATGTGGCTGCTTCAGGTAAGGAATGCTATTTTCTGCCTCGTCATTAACCAAAACTGTTTGTACAACCAACTACCAGGGCCTGTAGACTCATTACTAGGGAAAGGCAATAAACATACCCTACTTGAAACAAAGGGAGACTGAATTAAAATTTCTAAGAAATACAGAAACCAAAAGAATTGGTTGTATACTAATCAAATATTGCAAAAGTAACAGAATTCATCCTGATTGTTGGCTCAAACAATTACTCCTTTTTAGTGGCTTAAGTTGTTTATGGCTCGTTTTGTATCATTCTTATTTATTGTTTCTAATTTCCTATTTCTTGTTTTTTGTTTCCTCTTTTTTTAAGAAAGAAAAATAAATTGTGTTTGGTAACCGTTTCTTGTTTCTTATCCTTTATTTTTCATTGAAAAAAATAGAAATGTATTTTGGTAACTATTTATTGCTTCTTTGTTCTCTCAAATATTAAATTTAAAAATAAGAGTTTCACATCGAAATTAATATTTTAAAATAAAATATTAGAAATTTTATGTTGTATATTCTTTTTATAAATACTTTATTATGCATTTTATAAATATTAGAAACCCATTTTGTTGTTTTCCAAAATAACATTTCTTAAAAATGAGAAACAAGAAACTGTAGCAGTTGGCAAATGCTCATATTTCAAACAAGTTGGAAACAAAAATTAGGAAATGGGTAGCATAAACACACCAAACGACCCCTTAAAGTTCGGCATTAACCTTGTGAAGATATTGTGGACTATAGAGAATGAATTCAAAGTGTATATATATACACACACACATAAATATACGCTAAAAAAGTTCATTAGGTGCCATGTTTTCCAAAAATAGAAGGCTTGTTTGAGAACATTTTCTTTTTGGGTTTTTCATTTAAAAAAAAATCATATCAGACTAAGATAGTAACAATTGTTTTTCAAACTCATAAACTTATAAACAGAGAACACTTAAACCATAATTTGTAGAATGATCACAAACCTGTAACCGGCATATCCGTCTCGCCATATTTATGAGCATCAGCAGGTATAAGTGGTGCAGTCATGCTGTTATAATTAAAGGAGCATAATTTAGATACAGAAAATGTAACTCACAAGCAAGTCTAGAGTGGCAATTATTGCTAGCAAAGGGAGATAAATTATTGTTTGATATCTTTCTACATAGAACAGAATGTGGTCTGATTAGTAACTCAAATTTTCAACAGATATAGAGATTCTAAAGAACATGGACATTTGATTTGAAAGATCAGAAGCAGTAGATCCCCAAAAATCGGGACGTATGAAATTGCATCCATGTCAATACGTGTTAGATATTATACATCTGAGATTATTTGGTATGCTTGCTCATACTTCCTTGCATGATAATTTTATGTATATCCTCTGTATTCTATACAGACCAAGTTACCATGTCCACCTCCCATCTCCCTGACTTCTTCTATTTATAACCCACCCTCACAGATTACCAAGTAATTACTATTATGCCACTACTAGAATCCTAATAACATCCCTAATATATTCCCGGTAATACTCATAACATTATAATAATAAATGACGTATACTGATTCTTTTGTTCAATGGATTGGTTACAAAATTTTCATAACATGATATCAATGTAATAACAGAATTTTATTAAAAAAAAAAATTGTAATAACAGAATTCATGTTCTTTTTCGTTTTTGATTATGATCCATCTTTCGATTCTTTCCTATATTTTGTATATCAATGAGAAGTCTCTTTGTATCTACTATCTAAAGAGTGACGACAGAACTCTACACGATCAAGTGCATTAAAACAGACTCAGTCCACTGACAGGAGTGTACTAAAAAACATACCCAGTTGTCGGGGTCACGATTACATCAACCTGCTTGAAAATTTCCATGTGATGATGCATTATTCTTCGCCTGAAACAAAATATATCTTCATAATCCACATTTTGTGGGGGAGAGAATTAGAAGGGAGCAGATCATTGAGATAAACATTCTTACACACAAAAAAACTAACTAAATTTCGAAGATACAAAGATGTTTACCAATATCTATATGAAACTAATGGAACAAAATAAACAATAAAGTCTAATGATTTGAGAAAAATCTTTTATGGATGGTTTTCTGGTCACTAGTCTATCTCACCTGAGACACTGGGCAGCCACATAATCTGATGCAGTAAATGACCGAAATAGTGCCGAACTAGTACGACTGTCATAGGTCAATCTTTTACCTTTTCTGAAGAAAATAGAAATTCACATCATAAGGAAATTAAACTTTGTATATGATCTTTATCAGAAAAAAAGTCCCCCATACACTTCAGATAGCTAAACAAGGAAAAAGTGTTTAGTGTGGCAGGCATAATTATAAGGTTGGTCCTCCATACAAATAACAGTGAAGTTTTAATAGGTCTCTTTACTGGTTTTTGCTGTAGAAAGCTGTAGCGAAAAAAAGTCTTAAGCATACATGTTGCCTAAATAATCACCGAAATAAGAGCCTTGTCTGAAAATTAGACTCTTCCTAAAAGGAAATCAAATTTTTTGAAACTTAAATTCTTTTTCGTTGAGAAACAAAAGTTTAAAGTTCATTGTTGTGAAAATTTCAATCTCTTTAATAGGAATTCTTTCAAATTTGGGAACTTCTTTCCAGGGACAAAAACCTAAAAGAGTACCAGATTGTCTTAATATGGAGGAAATGTGATAAATCTTCCAGTGCCAGTTTCAAAACGCCAAAGTAACATACCCATCCTCACAATCAGGATTCACTGAAGCAAGAAATTCAGAACCAATCGAAACAAGATGGGCAGTGCGCATTTCAAGCAGCTCAGGCACGACAACTTCTATAATCTTGCACGTTTCAATATAAAGCATACAAAATGTGTCAGCATAATGAGTACATGCATTAGATGAAAAAACAAGACGTTGCTCTCAGCATACTTTATAGAGCTAAGATTCAGAAAGCCATTTTTTAATTAGATTATGACAATGAACGATAGGAAAGGAACAGCGACAGTGAACTTACTTTACAACCATGGGATTTTGTCAAATTTTCAAGAATGTCCTCACTCTTTTCAGAGATATCGGTTGAATAGACGTCGTTAAACCACTGCCAGAGGAGTTTTATGCTCAATAGAACATTTGATACATATAATGATAAAAAAAATAACCAAGCGGATCACAAGAGAATAAGTTACCGGTGAGTATTTTCCCAGTCGTAGTGACCCCAAAACATTCAAATTATCATGTGAAGATAAAATCGGCAAGCAAGGTGGAGCCTAGAAATGTGCATAGCAATGATTTAGTTGTAAATTGATATAAGAAAGAAAAATATTTATCTTAATCAACAGTTCATCAGTAGAAACAATAACAGCCCAATTGTTACTCATCCAGATGCATAATTGGAGAATTGGAGACCCCACTCCTTGCTTAACACTTATGGCTCGTCCTAATAAATCCTGGGGAAGACGGGTTTTAATAACATTATAGTGGAGGTTTAAACCCAAAACCTTGGAGAGAACCCATCCAGATGCTACAAGCCTTAACCACCAGGGTCACCCTATGGGATATAGTTTTGAAGTTCGACAATAAGGGTCTGGGTAAAGATGAGCTGTTCTATACATATTCATATACAGGTCCATAACTACTATTTTTTTTAGTTTTTTCTGGGTTAAGTTTTTCTTATCTCCGAGTAGCTTTTTGTACATTTTTTATTTTATCACTGAAAAGTATTGTTTCCTTGAAGAGGAAAAAAAAAAAAAACAGAACCAAAGACCTTTGCTGGTTTCAAGTTTCTATCTTTATTTATTCACTGGGTTATAATTCTTACTGGTTTCAAGCTGATTTTATCCTCAGGAGTGGAACCCAATATTGCTGCATACCTGATAAGAGACATATAGGGGAAGACTGTAACCAGTGCTCTAAGTCAACATGTTAGTATGTTACTAAATAATAACAATGGTCAGCATATAGTTCAAAATCTAAAGATTCGTGTATGATTTTGTTTGATTAGCAGCACCAGCTATTCAAGAAAGTAATCACAACAGTGACCGAATAAATATGTCATACAGTTAGCCATTGAAGGTTAAATACAATCTGCCATGGCATTTATTTAGTTTCGTCTCTCTTATTATCATTATTTTTTTTTGTAACTGGGAGTCAGAACTTTGCTCCCCTATATCCAGGGGCACTAACGTCCATCCCAAGGCCTAAATCCAGGAGACATCAAGAGTTTTTGGTATTAAGCTTATCGGAAGGTTTGAGCTTGAGACCTCTAAGCCAGCATGACTAAGAGACCTCAAGCCTTTGCCAACCCCATCTTATTATAATTGTTAAGTAATGCAATGTGATCAGAATGTCACCTATGGCATGAGGATGCTTAGACCGATGCGGTACAACATATGGTGACGCCCAATACAAATCACTTACACTAGCATGATATCTTCCACTGATGACGCTATTGGTCCAATAATCTCGACAGTCCCACAATCACATAGTGAACTGCAATGGAAAAGTTCAGCATTGAGATTCGTTATTTTTCCATGAGAGTAGAATGAGTACATAGATCATACTCTAAGTAATTAAGGCCATGTTCGATAACAATTTTGTTTTTACTTTTTCATTCTTAAAAATTAAGCTTAATTCTTAACAAAACTTTTTAAACAAAAACATGTTATTAAAAACTACTTTTCAAAATGTATTGCAAGAAAATACTATGGAAGATCCAAACCAACTAAAATTTTAGTTAGACTTCGTGCCAGATCCTATGTGATTGTGTACTGTATAAAGTCAGACTTCGTGTACTATATTTGTCTTGCACTTCATTTGGTAAAGTTCATTTCATCTTACATCTTGCCAGATCCTAGTTATACATGTCATAAGTTTTGAGGATAGAACGGTAATACTCATGAATGCAACATTCGTGTTTCTGTACATTACAGTCAAAAGTAGAACAAGATATTAGTTAAGCCTAGGCAATTAGATGAAAAGGATCAGGATGAAGTTCTTTCTGCTGTTCCCTTCCTTAACTTCAGGAGAATTTTCACCTTTGAAGCGCATAGATCAATTCAATAAAATCACAACGTAGATTAAATTAAGAACTATAATTTTTTAATTCCAACATGAAAAGGTATCAAATTCATTTCATCGGCATAGCATGGCCTGGAATGGAACATTGCAAACTAACATTTAGAGGTACCAAATTCGGTAGATCTGATGAATGTCAATTGCACAATTGGACTCAGGAAAACAAAGAGACCAGGTAAGAATTTGTGAAATGCAAAGAAGTCAGAAAGGAATTCCAGAATTCCTATTATGATATACCAGTACATCTCCTGGCGTCCACTATGTCATTCTATCAAATATTTAAGCACCTAAATTCCTGGTCTGATTGGAAAGGCAATTTGAAGGTAGAATAGAAGTATATTTCTTGAATATATAGTAGTTGAAGGGCTTACCCTTTAATACTTGTCCGCCCATACGTTGTTTTTAAGCCCACAACACCACAAAGAGAGGAAGGAATACGAACCGAACCTGCAATTATACATTATCTTAAAATTTTCACTCTGAACTCACAATGAATGACTTTCCAGTTTTATTAGCTGGAAGAGAATAAACCTTTTTCAGTGGAATGAAATATCCTTGGACATTGTGCTACATAAAAAGGTAATCTACAGAAAATGAAGAATACAAAACCTAGTAAGTATTTTCCCAACCTCCCCCATCTGTACCAAGTGCGGCAGAACAAAGACCAGAAGCAACAATTGCTGCAGGACCCGAGGATGATCCTCCTGTATACCTATCAGGTGCATGCGGATTTCTTGTTGTTCTGCAATCCCAAACCACTAAATGATAATTAAAGACTCAAGACAATTTCCAATCATACAACCAAGAATGCAACCTCCAATACTTAGACCCATTTGATAACGATTTTAATTTTTGTTTTCTATTTCTAAAAATTATGCTGGCTTCCTCACAATTTCTTTGGTATATTTTTCACTTTTCTTAGGGACACATTTGAATTCTTAGCCAATCTTCAAAAACAAAACAAACTTTTAAGAACTATTTTTTTTAGTCTCCAAATTTGGGCTTAAAATTAGATAACGTTTTTTAAAAAATAGATAAAAAAACCTAAGAAACGTATAAGTAAAAGTAGTGTTTATAAGCTTAATTTTCAAAAACCAAATAGCTATCAATAGGGCCTAAAAGATAACTGAACAAGATCTATTCTCAGTTGAAGTGATATAGCATTACTTATGCCTGACATTAAATGCATCTCAAACATCAATTTACGTTTCAAGTCCATAAGCAATGCACATACCCATAATTTGGATTATTTCCAGTTGTACCCATACCCAGCTCGTGCATATTTGCTTTCCCTACAAATATGACACCACATCTACGCAACCTTGAAACAGAATCTGCATCCTTCGCCACGGAGCGTACCTCATGCATCCATGTTGATGCACCTGTTAGCAAAAATGAAAACCTTAATCTACAACTCTTCACAGAAGGCCTTAGGCTTAAGTTCTACCCAAGATTGTTAACCTTTGGTTGGATGAGGATAACAGTCTATATCATCCTTGATTGCTATGAATATCCCATCCAAGATAGACAATGGGTTTCCTGAACAGCCAAAGCATATAGGTGATTATTGCAACTTATATTAAACCTTCCCTTATCACAAGAAATAGCAAAGAATGTGCAGAAAGGATAAGAAAAATGAGCCATTACCTTCTGCAAACCTCTGTGTAGAAGCAGCAGCTTGCTTCATGACTTCCTCGGGATCAAAAGAAATCAATAATGGTGCTGGTGGTTCCTTGTGATTGAACTCCTGTATAACTGGAATTATTTGTTCTGCAACCTATTATAATGTCATAAGTATAATGGAAAAACTTTAGTTGGTTTGGTTCAGTTGGTGAAATGAGTTAACCACACCTCAACAAAATTCAAGAAACTAGTAGCTAATTATGGAATACCATGGAAGGGGTCACAAGCCTTGACCGATAAGCATAAGCATAGTCACGAATTTTCCAGTATCTGAATGGTGAAGGCGGGTCTCTCTTAACATGGGAAGTGGGATCATAATGCATAAGACACCGCACAGCTATGTCTACTCGGTCTTCGGGTTTCCCATCTTCGTCAAGGGTGGATATAACAGGCTCTTCTTCTAAATTCATATGATAGATATTGAGCAGTTCAGAGCTGGGACGATAATACACATTATTTGGATGCCTTTTGGTTGTTCAAAAGGTTGACCATATGTAAATGCCTAGCTAAATTATAACTACTTTTCAATTTTTATCCCAGTATATGACAAATTTTCACCATTTCAACTCCCCTTCCATGCATGCGACAGAATTTCACATCCAATCTTAAATGGCAAGGAACAAAGGAACAGTAAATTCATGTAAATGTCCTCTTGTATAGATATGATGATGAAAACTAAATCAAAATTTATTACACTATCAGAAGTTGTTTTCTTCATAATCATGACCAGGTCATCTCAAGAAAAATACTGATATAATAGCATAAAGTTTAATATATAAGCTGAACGACTAAGCAACTAACTAGCACTGAATCAATAAAAACAAATGACCTTGAGGAGGAAATTCAGGCTTGAACATGGGTGCTTCTGGTATTACTGTATTCAGCAGCAACTGCCAATGGGAAAAGCAGAAAGAAACTTCAATGATCTCTAGCCACAAATAGTAGCTAAAACAATCAAACAAAAAGAAGACAAGAAAGAAAGAAATGAGCAGTCAAACACCTCAACTATTTTATTCTGCTTCTTCAATATGGAGACTACGAAAGAACCGATAACAGGAATTTCGAGAATCCCAACGAAAAGCTTGAAGAGAAACCCAGCCAGATGAGGAGCTGCCACCAAATAAAAATCAAATTTCACCCCACTTCTCCCCTATCAATTTCGATCACTGAATCGAAATTCGTCCAAAAAATAAATCAAACTATTAAAAAGCTGGAAATGGGATTTAGAAGATGACCTTGGATCACCTCTTTCTCATATTTGACCGCCGATAAGTCAAGTTTCTCGACCGGCACCATGACCCGCTTCTTACCCATCTCAAGGGGGCTTGAAAACTTCGCCGGAAAACGAAGGGGAAGACAGAAAAAGACGCAAAATCACCGGAGCAGAGTCACTGCATTTGGGAAGCGAGTCTGGGAAAGACGGTAATGGCGGATGATTGAAGGGTTAATTGGAAGGCGACGAATTCGAAGTTGAAAATAGTAGATGGAGCCGTCGAGGGATCATATGGCTGGCTCTAGCAGGTTTAATGCCGCCCAAATTGCTCGCTAAGTCAAAGCATGAATGCGAATGAATTGGTTGGGCCAGTCATTGGTTGAAGTGAATTGAATTGAACTGAATTTGAAGTTTTCTGTGATTTGGGAAGTGAGAGAAAATACAAAAAATGTTGTTCATAAACAGGAAAATTCCAAAAAAGTTGTTCACTCTTGAGTTCTGATCTTCAACCCCACTTCACTTTTTTGGCTAAATCTTGGAAAGCTCATCCAAGTGTAACTAAATCCAAATTGAGCCCAACAAATTACTCCACGGCCATGTTCAAGGGAATGGGAGTGAAGGAAGGAATTTTTTCATTCTCTCATAGAATGAATGGGAGTAAAGTTATGGGATTCACATAATTTTTTCATTCTTATTTAGAGGTGTTCAAAAATTAAAACAATCTAACAAATCAAGGATTTGGTTGGGTTGGGTTGGAAAATTTCCAATTCGATCGAGTGGGGTTGGGTCTCGGATTGGTCTCTGTTGTCGCCACTCCATCGTCCGCCCACTACACAGTTGTCGTCCCACCACTCCTCTACATCAGCTTCGGTCGCCATTAGTGAAGGAGGTAATGGCAGTAGCATTTTTTTTTCTTTTGCTTTATATTTTTATCACATGATTTTTAACTATTTTATTATATGTGTTGAAAGCATATCCGTCTGTGAAGTGGATCCGTTCGTCATCAGTGAAGGAAGTCGTCTCCGTTAATCAGTGGCTATTATTTTCTGGACGTACTTTAATCATTTGAATGAGGAATTTCTGAAGTTATAATTTTACATTTGAGACTTCATTTATCTATATTCATATTTTGTTCAAGTAGAAGTTTGGATTCTTGCTGAAACAAACACCTCAGTGACTATTAAATGAGTTGATTTTGAGAATATTAACCTTGTTGTTAATTATTTTAATCTGAATCATAACTACGAAGTATATATTAATAATGTTAATTTAGTTTCTAACTTACTTTTTTATAATAAGTAGACTATGAAGTATGATTGAGTTGGTTTTTTTTTTATCCTTAAAATAATTAAATATTATTTTAATGATAAATACTTATTTTTATCCTTGATATTTCAAAACTAATGGTTGCTATTGTATTTGAATTTTATGACTAACATACAAATTATGGAATCAAAGATCAAGATCTTTTAACTTGTTGCTCGTGATGTGAATTGTTGTTTCTAACAAAGATTTAAAATTTTAATTTTTATGTTTGTGTGGACTTTGGAGGACTAATATTGTAAAATTTAATATTTGTTCTGAATTAGGAGTTCTCCGTGGTTTGAATTAAGTTTTGAAATTGTGTGTAAATTAATATTTTAATATTTTAATATTTTTCTTTGTCCAGGTTATAAACAAAATATATTAAAAAAAGTGTGACAATCCTCCCGTCCCTACACATCTATTGCAATAACTTTTCTATTTTTATTCATTTATACAATATTTTTCTAATAAAAATTTATATCACTTTTATTAATGGATGTGATTTTATTATAAAATATTAATAAATTTATATTTAATTTTTTAAAAATTTAAAATTTTACTTTGTTATATTAATTAATATCAATACATTTTTTAAAATAGAATTCATTATTATTAAACATTATAATTATGAAATCTAATAATATTTTATATTAAATAATAATATTTCTAATAAAAATATTTTAATTGATGTATTATTTATTAATATTAAATAAATTGTTATAATAAAAAATATTTACTATCAATAATATATTAATAAAATAAATTATTATTGTAATTAGAAAAATATTAGTACAGCAATATCTTTGTAATTAGCTAGAAAGAGAAAAAGGTATACTAGTAATTGTTATATATTCGATTCCGATCCCAGTTCCAGACAATTTTAGTAAATAACATCAAAAGAAATCTGATTCAGATTTCAACAAATTTCTGGTAAACAACATCAAATGAATAACATTCTCATTATTCTTCTGATTGATTTTCATTTCAATTCATGCCCATTCCGATTTTTGGTAAATATTAGATAGTAAATATTTTGTATCATGACAATTTATTTAATATTGATTAATAATGAATAATTAAAACAAAATTACATTGACTAAAATACTTTTTTATTAGAACCATCATCATTTTGATATAAATATTATTAAATTTTGTAATTATAATATTTAATAATAATGTTATTAAATTTTTATTATTATAATATTTAACAATAATGAATTCTAGTTTTTTATTATTATGATGAATTAAAAATTTAAAATAAATATCAATTATAATATTTTATAATAAAATCACATCAACTGTGGTATAACTTTTTATTAGAAGAAAAATTATTAGTAGTATAAATGAGAAATAAATAAAAAGTAATTACAATAAATATATCGGACCTACGTAATAATAAATAGAAATGGATTGATTAGGGTATAAGAGAGAAATGTAATTACCCATTTTTAAATAAATGAAAAATTTGTGTGAATCACACCCACCATAAAAAAAAATGAATTTTTTCCATCCCTTCATTTCTATTCCCTGTGGATAATGATGATATTTTATTCATATTTAAACATTATAATTATATCATAATTTCTACAATTGTTCTAAAAAATATTATATCATAAATACAATGGTCGAACAACCCCTACCTTCAGATTAATCACAACATCCATTATATAATTAGAAACCTGGAAAACATGATAATTTATGTGGCAATGAAACATTATTATTTTTAATCGGATATTAGAATTGCACATATATAAATAAATAAATATATATACACACGTCCAGGAGCCGTTATATCGTTTATATATATATACACACGTCCAGGAGCCGTTATACCAAAAACGAGAGAAACCTCATCTCTCTCTTTTCTTTTTTTGACCCTCATGTCACCACACGGAAGGGATATGGGGCCAACGACTCACAGGTAGTGGCTTTGTTAGGGAAGTCACCAAAACTGTAGCGAAAACGAGTCTTCATAGTGTATATACATCCCAAGTTTATTTCTAGAACCTTTACCCTCCCTCAATAAAAAAAAAAAAAATATATATATATATATAGGTTCTAAAAGATAATAAACATTACCTCCAAAATCTACGTAACGCTGGGCATTTAATAGGACATGGAAGGTAGTTGGATATGGTAAGCTACTTTACTTGACTAATTAATTTTCTTCAAAAGTAATAGTTTGACATGGAGATTTGAATTTTGATGTGATATTTTCTTCCATTAAAACCACCTTTACCTCTCCGTAACTGTAATGGAAATCAATTGTAATGAAAATCAATCGTAATAAAATCAACCAGAATCGTAATGTTCTTCTATTGATATTGTTTACTAGAATTTTTCTGGAATCATAATTAGAATTCCTTTGATGATGTTGTTTACTAAAACTATCTAGAATCGGAATTGGAATCGGAATCAGATATATAATAATTATTAATATACCTCTTTCCCCTTTTTAGCTAATTACAAATATATTATTGTGCTAATCTTTTTTAAATATAGTATTAATCCATAATGAATAATTAAACTAAAATTACATATTAAAAAAATATTTTTTATTAGAACAACCAAACTTTAATATAATATATTATTAAGTTTTATTATTCTAATATTTAAAAGTAAATAATATTCATTTAAAAAATTTATTGATATTAATTAATATTAATTTATCATATTATATAATAAAATAACACCAACTAATAAAAATTGAAGTATAAATAGAGAAGAAATTATAAAAGTAGGAAAAAAACTAATTAAAAATTATACGGATCTAATCCATACATGAGAGAGAAAGGGTAAAAGTGATACATTAATTATAATATTGATGTGGGGTCAACGGAATAAGGAATGAGAATGAGATTGATGGGGTGTAGGAGTGTAATTGGATTACATCTTTTTATATGGGATTACAAAGTTTGAGGTGGATCCAACCACCATTTGATTACATTCCTACGATTTGATAAGTTTTCATTACAAGTAAACGGGACCTAAATGGGATGAAGTGTTTTTCCTTTGTCATGGTAGATTATTTGTAAGAATTTATGAGTAAACTTTTTCAATAAAATTTATCCGACTATGATCATTTATTTATAAAAGAAAAAAAAAATACATATGTACTTTTATCGAAAGACAAAATTATATATTTTTAAAAAATGTATTTAAATAGTTACAAATAATCTATAAATAGATTTTTTTTATTATTTTTCCACATAAAATTTTTCTGTCAAATTTCTATTCACTTTTTTCATACGATTGGTGTTTGTTGAGTCTCGTGATTGACCTACTGTATTTACCCATTAGTTCTTCGTCCTATTCTAATTTCTAGAAGACTATATATTGTATATTTGATTTTCATTTTCACTTTTCCATTTCTCGCTTTTTTAGTTTTAACATTTTTATATATTCTTTATAGCATATTATTTTAAGGACCTTTTGTTTTTTTTGTCTCTCGTCAACTCATATCAATATCTATTCCAAAATTTTAATTTCATCGTTTAAATATTTTTAAATAAGAAGGTGTGAGTTCAAAATTGATATATATTTTTACTAGGCTCCTGTTGTTATATTAATAACATTTTCAACAAGTCCATTTTGTAACTCAATTATTAAAAAATTTATGACATCACATTACATTTTATTAATGATTTTTTGCTTTATCAATGAATTTTTTAATATTTTGTGACCAAAAGACATTTGATTTTTAAAAAATCAATACATAAAAGGAGAAATCGAAACTTATGACAGGTTAAAGGACGAAATTAATCTAATATAAGCTTAGTTCAACGATAATTGACACATGTCTCTCTGATCAAGAGATTATGAGTTCAATCTTCCACCTCAATTATTGTATAAAAAAAAGGAGGAAATTAAAAAATAAACCCAAACATTAGTGATTAAATTATATGTTTAGCCTTTGCATACATACAAAGATTAAAACGTAATTTTTTAAAAATAGTGTACAGTATATTTGTAATATAACTATTTTAATCATAAATTCACATCTGTCAACCAATGAGTTAATATATTTATTGACTTAGTATAGTACATCATTCAAATTTCAATGACATTACAAGAAAATGCATAGAAATTAGAATGCACTTTTAAAATATATATATATATATATATAGTTATTTTTAATATTGTATTTTTTAAAAAAATCAATTTCAACAATCATGGGATGGCTCGAGTGGTCAATGAGGGCTTTTGTAAACACTAAAGGACTTAGAGGGAATGAATTCAAACCATGGTGGCCACTTACCTAGTGAAATTTATAAAT